TGACAAATATATTCTACACTGCCGCCACCACCCCACAACTTTTTATTATGTAGAAACAGCGACCTGGAATTAAAAAAATCACAAGGAGAACATGTTATATAAATTATTATAATTCATAATTATAAGCTTTGCGGATCAGATCGGTGGTTGTTAAAGAAGAATCAAATTTTTAATATATTTGATGGGCCGACGTTTGACCTCTATCTCTGGTGGTAAGCGATGATGTGGTCTACGATGGAGCACGTTGCTACGCCATTGCTATGCCGCTGTTACACCCTTGCTACGATGCTGCTACGCCACCGCTACGCTGCTGCTACGCCACCGCTACGCTGCTGCTACGCCACCGCTACGCTGCTGCTACGCCACCGCTACGCTGCTGCTACGCCACTGCTACGTCACAGCTACGCTGTAACTACGCTACTGGTACACTACTACTACTACTATGCTTCAGAAGTTGGTTCCCGTACAATTATAAGGTATTGCGTAAAAAATTAAATATATCTAAGGATTGAGTATTTAATTTTACTCCCTATATGTTATGTAGCGCGTGGCTCGGGTAAACAATAGCGTATAAGACACAGATTTTTACTAAAAACGAAATTGAGTTAATTTAAAGCAATAAAGATCCTACTGCCATACTTAGCATAGCATCCAATACATAAACCCACTCTAACCCTGTGCGATCACCTCTATGGAATGCCTATAAAAAACTAAAAAGCAAAACGTAACAATAATTAATTAGACGATACGAAAACCAGTTGCCTTTATCTACACAGTAGCTAGTAAAAAACACTATCCGCTAGTGTCAGTGGCCAGAGGCCGTCCCTACTTCTAAAGAGGTACATACTATGTACCAAGTACCTACGTTCAGAAGCCGCCTCACCTTGACGCAAACGAAGGTCCTATTAGACAAAAGATACCAGAAACCACCGAAGTGAAAGTAACGAAATTAACTTTCAAAAAGTAATAAATTATTTGTAATAAAAACTATATTTTATTTTTAATTTATGTTCCCTGTATTATGGGCGCGTTCACTTACACTTTCGCTGTTAGCTAATGATGAATTTAAATTGACCATCTTGTTAATTTGGCAGGTTACTTATCTTTCTAACAATAGTTTTGGTATCAGTAGGATAGTCTGTCAAATTAAAGTCGATTTAAAGATGATCTCCAAAATAGATCTTCAGTATCGTCAGAGTCATCCTATCACAATATTTCCAACATAGAACTCCAACTATTAGCCAAGTAAATAATAGGAACGATTACAGCGCATCGGAGGCAAGATCTAAATAAAATGCCATTGCTCTCAAGTGGTTTGCGATGTTGTGTACTTTTTATTCGATTTCTCACAAACGATGAGGACTTACGTGTATCGCAAGACCAGTTCTGGATGCGGGACAAGAGCCCGGTGTAAATTTATTCCATGTACCATGTAAAAATAAAAAAACCAACAGAAATATTACACGTCCGCTCGAATTTATCTGTTGATTCAACATTGGTCATTTTTTATTGCCAAAAAATTCAAGATGTGTAGATAGGTGTATAGTAAGCACCTATAGACAATTGGCAACAAATTACTGTACCACATACCACTTTACATAACCGATAGCTAAGTATAAAAAGTAATTGATGGTACCGGCCGTACAGGGTCACTCCTAGCTTTCTGTTCGTATAGTAGGTACCTACAGATAATAATGGACCTACTTATACTTATTACTTATGTATATTTACCATTTACTTACTGTTTGTACCTACAAGGTTTAGGAGTGGTAGTTACAGCTGCTCATCACGAAGTCCTGAGTACGTCTGGACTCTGGAATAAGTAGGTACTTACCGACTTAACGAATTGATACCCCGTTTAGTCAAATTATTGATGTAGGCACAATGCAACATGCACCTGTGAAATTGAATGAAATAAAATTATATTTATTTCCACAAATGGGTTACAAATTAAATTACTACTTATTATTGTTGACAAATAGGATAGGACAAAAAATAACATCGTTTTGGAAAGTGTGTAATGGGGCATGCCCTTCTCGACTGCACAACAATTTGATCATGTGTTTCAGAGCAGGAGCATGACGTGCATAGCATCTACTTATTTGTGTGCAAAGATGAACAGAAACACCTATCGGTACAAAATGCAATAGTAGTAACTCAGTACCCATACCTACTATGATAGCTACCCATACCTACTCGTAAGACAATGATAAGATCTGCTTTAAACCGTCCTTAGTACTTTATCAACAACATTATAAACCTAATCGATTAATCTGGATTGATTGACAACATGCTTATCGATTAAATAAGGATACTTGGATAGATTAGACAACAATACTTTCAATATTCTAAGATTATTAAAATCTCTTGAGATCATTGTTCTGATAGTCTTCATGGCTTCAGCTTCACGAAGCAACGTGGCCTGTTATCTTCAGATAATGATCGAATATTGACAGGTTCGACACCTGCTGGTATAAACTCGTGCGTGTATGAAGATAAAGAACCTATAGCACGTGCCAAGGAACACGAGGTTTCCTTTCAAATATGGCAATTATCTATGGATTATCGAATTTGAGAATTTTAATAGTTACACAGTCTATAATTAAATTATGTAAGTATGTCTGTATACAGGACATGCTACGTTAGTTAACGGCAGGCTCATATTTTAATACATAACAAAGATCGCATCTGTAATTTTGAAAACTACTGAACAGATTTTTGTGCGGTTTCCCTACACGGTGCTATACGATACTTGAACATCGCGCGACTAACTGTACACAGATACTTCTTCTTTCATTATATTTACTATTATATAATTTACATAAGTGTAAATAAGTATTTAAATACTTAGTAACTATACATAATTGTACCATCATAACCAAATATTTATTTGGCTGACCCGCTCTCCACTAACTACATTATAGACCTTATTTCCAATGTTTAGAGACTACTTTTGTATGAACTTTAGGGGATGATTTTGAACGGGTTAATAAACTCTCATCTAATGAACCAATCCTACTTATAATAAGCATACTCATAAATTAAGTACATAAATAAAACACAAAATTATTTGGCTATTACATCTATATTTAAAATAAAATCATGTAGTAATGCAAACTAAAGGAAGTAAACATGACTAGTTAACAATTTAACTAAACATAATACAGTTAAGTACATGTAACGATATATTACGGTAGAGTACTAGTAATTATTTGTAATTTTATTTAAGGTGGGATAAACGCCCGATACTCAAACTACCTAATAATTTACAGAACTATTTGACAGGTGTAGGACAAGTAAATGTAGAGATTGTTAAGAAAATTACTTACTGTTTGACTTTTAAATAAAATAAGCTGTTATTTTAAATCGTACACACTGACAGAAGAAACGAAGATTCTCCAGTTTTGAAGTCGATTAACACTTAAACGTATGTCGTGGTGGCCCGGAAGATTAAGACGCCCGCTTCTCATGCACGAGTGTGCGGGTTCGAAACCTACCAACGGCAGATACGACTGTGTGACTTTTTCCGAATTTTCTTTCTAAGATTATTTAGACACCACTGACAAACGGTGAAGGAATACGTCGTGAGGAAACCTAGGCTTATAATTTCTAATTATAAGTTTGAAATCGCCAACCCACATTGAGCAAGCGTGGTGCTCAAACCTTTTCCGTGTGAGAAGAGGTTTTGCTGAGCAGTGGCATTATTGCAGGCATTATATCCGTTGATGTGTGATGTGAACACATTATACGCCATGAGGGTCACCGGTGACCAACGTTAGCGAAGGATTTGCCTTCAACAGTTTTCTATTAACAGTCAAGGCCTTAATATTCAAGAACTGGATTCAAAGAATATTATTATGTATCTAGAGTTTGAGTATACGGCGTCGATTTTGGTTTTGGGAAGCATAAATAAGTTTACAGTTTTATTTTATTATTTCAGATACATTCGAATAATGTAGCTGCAGTTTATCAATGGTCAAGTTACACATTTTTTACTACCTACCTATATAATCTAATTTAAGTAATTTTATACTTTTACTTTTTCGGAATAAAAATATGATATGAGGAATTATACATTTTAAGGGTAAAAGTGATTATATTTAGCTATGGTTAAACAGTGAATCTACACCGTTACAATACCTATTTATTCAATTGATATTATTAAAATATTAAACGTGATTAACAGTTTTTTATTATTTATTTTATCGTATCGTATTTACACACAAATTATAGTAAATAATTAAAATTTAGAACGTTTTAACCTTTTTTATGGAACTACTCCATAATTTATTTCTGATTTCGATTTGCCCATTTATTGATAGTAAAGGAATTTGTGTTGGATATCTAATTATAACGAAAACCGAAATACAATCAGGGTTAGGCTGAAAACACTAATATTTATAGACTCATATGACTTTAATTATACAACGCTATTAAAACTTTAAAACACGGTGTTTAAGCTTCATTCTGTACAGCAATAAAGTTGAAAAATTCTAAGTGTCTACTTATCTGACTGGTACACAGAGAGCTTCGTATCATAAGTAAAATGTGAATAAATAACATGTATGTATAGGTCTACATTAAGTTGACGTGATACGGTGACACGCGAGCCGGTAGTGTGACAGCCATTCCCTTTACAAGGTCTATAACAACTATTCGCCGTTCTCATGTTCACAACAAAAGAACAAGTTATTAAGATTCCAAGATTCACGCTTCGTTAATCCATACATTAATACTATTTAATGTAGCTATGTATGTAAATCTAAGCATCAATTGCGGTTCCCATACAAAAACAGATAAAAACACCAAAAGTATCACACATTATAATTAAGTTTGGTGGTAATCAAGTACAAGTAATAAATATTTTTATTTAAAAGTTTATTGCATTGACGTAAACACTCCGAATTTCTGCAAGGACTTAAAAACACTAAAAAGCTTAGTATTAAAACTCAATTATGGCTTGTAATTGATTGAAATAAGGACTATTAATTAAGATAAGTCTATCGTACTAAAATTAAACTCTTTAATGATTTGGTGCCGACCAGACGTGTGTATTCTATGAGATCTTCAGTGTCTTTGGCATTTGTGTGCCTCTTGTAATGTCTGTATAACATTATGACTCCGTTCACCCACATAGGGATATAATTTATGTCGCTTTCTTCAGGATAGTTGTCATCCGTGCCGTCCACGTCAGGGTTGAGTCTTGAGTATGGCGACACTTCTAGCTTAGGAATACAGTCTCCCAATGGGAACCACTTATAGGTCTCTGGGCACAACAAGTCTGATGGGAAGAAGTTTCCTTTATACCGCATCTTACGGCAGGTGTGTATGTAGTATCCCATGTAGTAATACTCGATTTTTGGGCACACAGAGTGCAATTGCTTAGTGAACTCGATCTCCCTTAAAATAAATAACGAATTTTCAGAATTTCAGTAGCATAACTTCAATTTAAACGGAGTTTGATGGAGAATTATGGCCATTACAGATACTCTGGATAACCACTATCTATCTACCACATAACATAGAACGTAATTGTAATTTGTATGTTAAGTAACTTACTCGTGTTAACTGTTTGACGAAGAACTTAACTATTTTTTATCGAGTCTTTATATTATTACGAGGGTGGTAAAAGCTCCTTAGTGTCATACAATAAACGGCGACTATTTTTATTAAGTTTTAAAAACCTGTATACGGATAAAGAGAAAATAAAATGCTCTTTTTAGAATAGCTCACCTCAGCGCTCCATAAGTTCCTAAAGTCATGTGCATATACTGCGGGTCGTAGAAGAAGTAAACAGAAGACACGCACTTGGGCAGTATGTCTATGACTCCGACGGCGATGATCTTGCCATCCAACCAGTACTGCTGGTGGAACGACCCGTACCCACTCTCCGGACCATCCTCGGTATGTTCTTCCTAATAACAATAAAGTCACATTGAATTTTGAGTCATATAATCAAGTAATAAAGTGTAATTACCATGTAAGAAATTAGTACTTATTTAATTTTTTTAAAGTATGGCGTATCAACGAAATTCCACGCGATGTAAAATTGTTATAGTAGCGAATATAGTAGCGTATCGTCAACATTCGTAATTGTAATTCTTAACGTCTGTTAAGCAAATGATAGTGATGTGACTTAATTATTCCAATTACCTCTTTCAAAGTTTCTCTTTTTTAGTAGTACCTATCTATCGTAATTTCAATCAACAATTACTACTTACCAACAAAGGACTGTGGACTAAAAAGTCATGAAACTTTGGTTCAGTGCATTTATCAGGTTTGTCATCATGTATCGTCGTTTGATACTTGACATACACTTCGTGAGACTGCTTCGACGTCGCCAGCCATTCAGGGCTAGGAGGTGCTGTTCTTACCAACTTTATCTAGAAAGAAATATTATTATTTAACCAACACAATAGTCTGCAATTTCTTAGAAGGGGATAATATGAATACCTGATTGTATTAATAGTGCAACCACGATACACTCTGATCTTATACTATTATATAAAGCGGAAGAGTTTGTTTCTTTGTTTGTTTTTGAACGCGCTAATCTACGTAACTACAAATCTGATTTGAATAATTATTTTTGTGTTGGATAGCGCGTTTATCGAGGATGGCTATAGGCATAGCATAAAACATCACGTTACGACCAATAGGAGCTAAGCAGAGCGTGTGAAACCGCGCGGAAGTAGCTAGTATTAGATATAATCAGAGAAATTATAGGAGGAGAGGGAAACGTATCAGTGCTATTACTAATTTTTCCGTATAAGCCCAACACTGCTTTGCTCAATTGGAGATCGCACGAACCCCGAATCCAAGTAAGCCATCGCACTTGCGACTGTGACTACCCAACCGACAAAGCAGATTCACCATAACAAACGACTTAGCACTACAAAAAACAATTGACGAACAACAACTCATTCGTACGATCGTTATCAATTGGGGAAACACGTCTAATGATTTGACTTATAATTCAAATGGTCATTGAGAAAAAAATCACAATGGCTTCGAAAAAACTACTTATGTTTTACATACCTCTAGCTTATGTTTGACATCATCGGGTAATTCGTTCAAAAAGTCCTCGAGCTGTTTCTCTTTGAACCTCGGCGTGGATGGAGGGAGCTCGTTAATGCCCTTCTCTTTAAGTTTTTCTAATCGCCTCTCTCGCCTATACTGCTTCGCCTTCTTACGTAACGGTTTATTAGCAATAGGTTCCTGTTCCTGCAATTCTGTAAAAGAATATTGATTTTATCTTTTTGTGCATTTATTTCAATTAGACCAGGGGGCTTACTCTTGAATCTAAATCCGATTAATCGACATTAGTATTGTGAAATTTCGTACTCTTGAGTTGCAACACTAGCGCCCATTGTATACGTATTGTGTGGATATTTAATGAACTAAATGGTATTGAGTTTGGCTTTATATTCCGTATTTCCGATTGTGGTTGTATAGTGTTGACATTGAATGATTATCAGATTGAAATTGAGATTTGTTTCAAGAGTAAGCACCCAGTATGGCAGTTTTGAACGTCAAACAAATATTAAAATATGCGCTACAGAGAAGTACTTTTTAAATAAAGATAAAACCGATTACAATATATTTTACTTCTCGAAAGCCCGAAGGTGAAGGACTGTTTTCAGAATTTAACGTTTACGACATTCAATCAAGGATCAATTTCAGGCTCTCTGCGCAGATTGCTGAAAATTTCGAAAATACAACCAATAGATAAAAAAATAGATTCCGCATTAGCTGGGCAATCAATTATAAATTCTCACCGGATGTGATTTTTTATGTTTCTAATCTAAACGCACACACAGCCCAAAGGGCAGGAGAAAATCCCAGCATAGTGATCATGTTTTAAAAGTAGATTCTAGAGAGAAATATATTATACCTTTTTTAACTTAATTATGAACAAATATATTTAATATATTATACCTAGTTATCAACTAGTTTTCTTTTTTATTATAAACAATAACTATATTAATTTGAGATAATATGCATCATATGATATCTGACAGTACATTTTATATTGAAACTATGACATAACTGCTTATTAGACCTGTACTTAAATTCGTTTTACCTAAGTATTGTTTTAATGAAATGTGTAATAATTTTCATTATCTAATCTAACCTATGGACTGAACAGAAAATGTATCATTTTGTTTTAGTACATTTCTAAAATTACATAATAATTATGTGCCCACATCCCGACCGGATAATTTGATTTCTAAATCCAAATGGAAGTAATACATGACATAGACTAGTTATTTTAGTATGTGATTTCAATACAATCAGTAATAATAGAATAATGGATGCTGAAATTTTGCCAACATTTGGTAATATGTTTACTCACACTCCGTTTTAACTACAGAAATATAATTACTGGTCAATTATTATTCTAATTTCTGTTACTTTGCTAATAAAACGAGTTTGTTTATCAGTCTAGAGGAAATTAAACAAAAATAGGTCAAGTATCATGAACATTTCTATAACAATGGTTTAATTATGTTATGATTCAATGCCTGAATGTTACAGGTAAAGTTTTATTTTACAGAAACAACATGTAATTTTAAATTGTGACAACTTTTTTAATTAACTAAAACTCGCGGGTCGACATCACCGCGACCGCACACGCTCCCCATGAGGAAGAACCCCTATGTGGTTCGAAACTAGTAAAGCTTTTATCAGTATATTTACGTGAGTAACCTGCGATTTATAGTCAACTAGCTTTTACCCGCGGCTTCGCTTGCGTCACAAAAGGATAAAAAGTAGCCTAATACACACAGCGCCATCTATACCAATACTTTTGTTTTCCCTCAGGAATATCAAATTTTTCCGGGATAAAAAGTACTCTATTATTTAATCCGGACTTCTAACTTTACGCTGCAAAAAATCAAAGGTCTCCATTTCCTCCATTATAGACCTTATTTCCAATGTTTAGAGACTGCTTTTGTATAAACAAATATTGTGGATTGAAGTATCTGATACTGCTAACATTTATGGTATGTATATAATGTCGTAATTAAGCCAACCATAGTAAGTATAATAACGTTATAACACACCTTTCTTGACCACTTTCTCCTGTGAAGAATGCGGTTTAGGTTCATTTTTCTTTGCCAAGTCCTTCTGGGTGATACTATCTGAAAATAAACAGTCATAAAAAGTTAAATTTCTCAATATTGTTTAATAACTTCTAATCAGTGTGACAGTTAATTTAGATTAAAAAATGCGTCCTTCTCGACTTTGATTAACTATTAAACTTCTTTATATTTACTTTGTGAATACTTATGTCCACAAGTCCATGTTAACATGATATGGTATAATTCCCTTAGCGTAACAGGCAGTTTTATGATACTGATTGTCTCTACATGAATAAAGAATAACATCAAAATATAGGGTTTATATCAATGATATAGAGCATTTAATTGAAAAACATAATATAATACAAACCTCCAGCTTGTTCTCCAGCACTGCAGTCTAAAAGTTCACTGTTCTTTATAATGTCAAAGTTCAAATCTTGATGGTCTCTCATAGTTTCAATGAACTGTTCACCTCCTTCCTCGAACCCTTCAGCCAGTACTTCACTACCACTGCTGCAGGTAGACATCTTCCTGTTACCATCACCGGCTGATGCAGAGGCATCTTGACTAGCCAGTATCTTGTTCACACGCTTCATCACTTTCTTTTGAGATTTACTCAGTTTGAACTCTAACGCTCTGCATCTAAATATCATATTTGAATACATTATTAAAGATATTCCAGTTACAATTTTGTAACACAACAAACCAACATTTCAGCAATAAAATAGCTCTTAGCATTATTGAGAATAGTTCATAATAACTATATACTTCACTGTACCGTTAACTATAACTCTCTTTTGGTTAGGAATTTAAGGCATTCATTCAAAATTATAATAAAGCTTAGCATATTATAAGTATGTGTTTGACATGAAGATACAGAGCAAGCTACAGGCAGTAACTTTATGAAAGACATACAAACCGTATAGTATACATGGGGCAACAAGTAACATCCATTGTAGGTTTATAACAATATTTTCCTGACCGCCTCCATCCTCTATCAATTAAATCTTGATAATCGCTTACAGTCATGGCATGAGCCCACATACCTAAATCAATACAATCACTTAAGATTATGTTATAAACAGATATAATATAAAAATGTTTATAAACTTACCATGACTATAATTGGTATCAGGGCTCTTACAGTATCCACATCTATACTGTTCATGTTCTGCATAATACTCCACAATACTGCGCAGCATTTTGTATGTTATGAATTATTTCCACTTTATTATTCAGTTCAGTCAACAATAGAACTAAATGCTGACCCACCGAATCCGAAGTGAATAGGAAAATAGGAATATTGTATGAATTATTCTGACAGTGACAAACGAAATTTGACATCAAACCTCAATAATAACACAATTGTCATTTTATTATAAAATGTCAAAATGTGGCATTTGTTTAGATCTGAAACCGAGTCTTTTTACTTAACTATTTGTAATGATTTTATTTTATCAGTGTGGTTCTTTATCAATTTTCCAGTAAATTATTTTTAGACGTAATTCTTCAATGTAAATTTGTCTATATTATAGCATCATTATTGAATGTTTGTGATCAGGCGAGGAAGTGACTAGACGCCATATAAATTATAAAAAAATACACACACACGTTTTTTGCAGTATCTACGTATCTTTTTCGGATAGCCAACAATGATATTATAAATAATAAATATCATTGATAGCCAGAGGCGCATTTTTTTACTTAAACTGTCAAACACCAAGCGGTCACCGGTGACCGCGACCTATTGTTCTTTAATTGTGTCTATAAAACCGGTACTCGACGAGTTAACCAGATAAATAATGTAACAACTCTCATTAACTTTATATGGTGACCAATAATTATATCTATGGGTGACCATTGCCATATTGCCATACACCAGACCGAATTCCAGACTCAGTGCTATGAGAACTTCTTCGGCGGTTGCTCTTGCAACCACTCTAACAACGAAGCAGAAAATAGTTTTAAATCTTACAGACCATTTTTGAGCATTTTATTTCAAATCCAACGTCGAGAAAAATAAATAGGCCAACTAGGTTACCAACAAGTAGGTGCGTTCTTTAAAATACTTATCTAAGTTAGAAAAACTTTCAAACCATGTAAGTAACGGTGACTTTACTATATTTTAATTTTGAGCCATCGTTATCATTGATGATCTGACACTTCCTTCTTCAGATATGTTGGACATTATTGACGGTAAAGGATTGATCGTGTGTTTCAGCGAGCCTATTTTTCGATGCCTGAAAGTGTTTGATCATATCGTAAATATATTAATAAACGAGGTACCGATGCAAATTGTGTAATCAAAAAACATATTATGTGTTGTGTATACAATCAGACTTTTTAGCCAATGGGCCGTGGGCCAGAAACTACAGACTGCTACAACTACTATAAACGACACTTTGCATATAAGTACTTCTTTAACCTTATCTCATAGTTAGGGTATGTACAAGGAATTCGCAATCGTGCAATGGGAATTAAAAGTAATGGTATAGGTACCAAGTGGAGTACATTTTTTCAGGATCATAATCGGTAATAATTTTAAAAATTCTAAAAATTACTTACACTCTTACTCTTCGAGTTTGATTCCAAGGCTGTATTTCAGTTTCTCCCCATATTAAAAATATAAGTCCACTTAGTAATAATATTAGGGCGTGGAAACACCAAATATGCTTCCAGACGATAGGAAGATTCTAAAATAAAATACCTATTAGGTAATGAATTTTATAAGGGGTAAATTGTAGCTACGATCTATAGTGGATGATAAAACACGTCTATGTCCTGAAGTACTTATCCTATCTAAAACATCCTTCTGAATTTCAATAATAACGCTTACCAAAGCACCTTGTCTGATTTGCTACCCCATTTTCTGATAGAAAATTTACCTCAGATTTGAAATCGATACCAGTAGACCAACAGGACATGAGGACAGTCACGTTTTCTTTGTAAACCTACCAATCAGATTGCACGTAATCATGGGCTTGTATGAACCTACATTACTTATATAAGAATTGCACATACAGGGTATTGTATTTAAATATATGGGTGTATTGTGTCCAAGGCTTGGACGTAAACTAGGTTTAAAATCACAGCACGCATGCACGTCCTATAGTAGGTAAGTGGATCAGGTCAAAAGTCGAAACCATGTGTATACACCATAGAACCACTAGTATCAACGTCTAGAAACTCCTGAGAAGTAAACTAAAATGTACTCACGCTAAATCTGTATGTCACTTGTCCAACACAAAGGGAGACGATTATACCCGATGTGTTCCCAATAATTTTGATAACAGTATTAAGAGAATTTACAAATGTTGGCGAAAGCTCCTGAAAATAGTATTAGTAGTTAGGAAATAAGCTAAACAATTATGTTTACGGCTTATTGACATAACTGATTGACGAGGAGCTCGACTACTTTCAAGCCATGCCAAAGGCTCATGTTCATGAGTTCACGTTCACGAGTTCCACGTGAGCAAGCCGAAAACATAATAATTGATTAGTATGTCTCACGAAAGTTTTAATATAAACTAAATACCTTTCGAGAAAGATTTTAATAATCCGTTTTCAGAGGAAAACAATGTGACTATTTTTTAAGATACTATGTATCTTTAATTTTTTTAAGGGGGTAAATCATCGAATGACTTCTCCCGCCTGGGGAGGCCGGAGGGAGTGTCAGACTCTTACTGACTAAAAACCACCCCGTTCCTTCTCCTGGACGTCGAGGCGGAGCCCCGGTAACCCGTTAGGTTCTCCGCGACATGTTTATTAAAATTAGCTCAATTACTGGCTATCTCGAGGATAAACGAAGGTAGCGTATTACTACTGATACGTACATAGCACAAGTCTAATGTAAGGTCCATTCCCGCAGCGGTCAATGCCACAGCTATGGTTAGCAGAAGAGGGCCCGGTATGATAGGCAGCATCCACGACACACATATCAAAAGTCCTGGGATCACATGAGCTTAATCAAACAAAAGAAGTTAAATAAGTAAGTACCTAATCATCAATTAGGTTCACAAAAACTTTGTACGTTTAAGAATTTAAAAAATTGTAAGGCTTAAAATGAGCTAATATCTAGTTCGTTTGAACGCGCTAATCTCCGGAACTACTGGTTCGAATTGAATAATACGGTAGTTGACAGTTAGTCAAATTCAATACTTTTATCGAAATCTCAAAAACGATACTTTTCTATGAATTTTGTATTTAATCGCAACCTGTGACGTCATCATATTTCCGCGTCAAATAGCATATTTATTTCCTTAAAATTAGCGAGATAAAATTCAAAAGTATGTAAATCATCAAATCAATAGATGAGAGTATGATTATTTTTTAATTATTTATTGCATTGAAAAGTCGAAACAATTTATTTGAAATTAAGGAAACTACCCAATTCTCTTTATCTTGGATCGTCCAACTATCGAGGAAAGCTATAGGCAATTAAACATCACATTACGATCCGAGACGAGCAGTGAGTGAAATCGTGCGGTAAAAAGCTAGTCTTGGATAAGTTAAGAAAATAACATTTCTTACAGACAACAATAAAATATTTTCTTAAGTGGTTAATCTCTCTTACTCGAGGCCTATGTTTGTACTTGTGAAAGGTTTGAATAAGAATTGTTCCCAACACTAAACGCAAGAAAAAGGGAAGCGCTGTAATTGCTGATGCCTGAAAGACGGAACACATTTTTATGAAAACGAATATAAAATCTTGTTATGCATATACTATACTGAAAATTATTCCAGTTTAATTATTGAATAGCTAGTAATTTTTAATACTAACACTGTAAATGCTGAATTTGGAGACCTTAGAGTAGTATAATGGACCAAAAAGACAAAGCGAGATTATCATCCAAGAATATCCAAAGTTAAGGATGCACAACGTCCAAAACGGCGCAGATCTAACAATGAGATTCCAAGGAGCTTGAGAGTTAGTTATCTGAAATATAATTAAGTAATTTTCCATATTTATGACTATATGAGGAAATAACAACACATTAAATTAGGGCCAACTTAACATGGAATCTTGATGACGTCAAAACTTTCTCGTGTTTGTTTTCAACTGTCTTGTAAATATAAGGAGCAGCCATATTTACATAAATAATGTTGTTTATGTCACCAGAGAGTTGCGTCGACACGTCCTCGAAGATAATGCAAGAGTTTGTACCCATATTCCACTATCTTGTTGGTCGCAAGCGTGAGGCGTGAGTGAACACGAGTTCTTGGATTAAATTTCCAGATCGAATAAACCAATGTTTGTCGATTATGAAATCTCTTAAGTAAAACAGTAGATAAGTACTTAATACGTGTTTGTTTTTCGCATCAGTCTTCCTTATATCACTTGGGATCACGAAGGTGTAGGTACCCTATCCAAGTATAATTGGGAAATACCTCAAATTATCTCTTTATGAGTTTAGGCAATTAATTCGTAACAACACTTACTTTAATCGGAAATATGTCACCAATAGTATTAATTAAATACGTCATTTCATCATTTGATATGTAAGGATGCTTCCTAGGACAATCTGTTACAATGAGGACCCAAGTAATTGACCAGATAATTTGCATTCCCCCGGATATGAAGAATCCTACTGGCCATCGAGAGTAGTAGTGCACTGCGGCGCACATAAGAAACGTGCAGAAAGTTCCTGTGGTAATACCTGGTGACAATTACATATACCTAAGTATGTGTAGATACACTTTTGCCGCCCAGGCATTGTAATGACTTATTCAGTTTTGGACGTTCAACATAAAATTACTAGGTAGGTACTTATAATACAATAGCAATAATAATTTGCGAATGTTTATGTGCGTAAAACAAGAGATTGGAAGTTAACTTACCACAGTAAGCCCACATAAAGTGGTTTCTCTCTATAGGTGGCACCCAATGCCTCAGTACTTGAACCATGCTTGGTTGCATAGCGCCCTATTCGAGATAGTAAGATTGTTATAAGGTTGCACTAACATTTACTTATGGATCATATTACAGAAATTACAAAATTGCTACAATAATTAGGTGCGATGATCGTCAACATTTTATTCAGAAGACTGGAAAGATTTTATCATCTTAGCAGTGATATGCAACATGTACTAAATGTTTCCTTTGACGCCATTCGATTGAGGGTTACCCAAGTTCTAAGATGTAAATAAAAATCAACACTAAACTCAAGTCTTCAGGATCTCCAGATTCAATTCTAGGTATAACAAAAACTATTCGAGTTCAATAATAACGTAGAAAGTCAATCGATACTAACAGCACAAAATCCCTCAATAAATCGTACCAAAAACAGCAACCAAAAGTGATAGTAAGCGGAGGCCGGTGTTAAGCAGCTTAACACTCCAGATGACAATCCAGCTATACCCACCACCCATGTAGGTCCCAATCTGGAATGCAAATAAAACTGAGTCCTATCTTAAATCTAGTAATCACCACAATTGTTTAACAAGACAATTTTATTTAGAAATTCTAATTTTGATCAGGATAAATAAGCGCTATTTTACAAATTGACTATGCTACGCGTTTCATTGGACTGTGGTGTGTTTTACAAGGTTTCTTGTGTAAGTATTACTCTAGAGGTACAGTTAGAGGAAAGCACTACTCAGAAACGACTTAATCGCCGGTAGTCGTTAGCACGTACTATTTATTTGTGTTATAGTTAAAGCAAATGCTACTTGAGATCAATGTCGATGACGTAAATCGGCAGAAATGTGTTTGTCTCACCAAGTAACGTTAATTTTTACAATAGTATCAACTTGTTACCATGTCTTATATCTACATTACCTACATATACCAATAGATTGGTCCAAAGGAATTACCCACTAAGTGTTGAATAAAAGCTTTTATTAAAGCTATAGGAAGTCCTCGAAAATTATTGTGGAAAGCTTTGAAAATTGGTAATATCTTCATAAATATTAATCTTGGTAAAATCCAGTAGTTCAGAGTTACTACACGGTCGCTAATTAATAAGTATCATAAACTTTAAGTAGGTACGCTTACTTATCTCCAAAGCTATGGAAGATGGGGAAGCAGATGCAATAACCTATGTGATAGGCAGAGAACAATTTGCCAACTTTAGTGTCATCCCAGTTAATTAAGTCCATCATCTGAAAAATCATGATGAAATATTTTATACCAGATCTAGTTTACATAACTGACTAACAAACGTTGTTTATTCGTTTTTTGAAACATATTTAAAGAAATCCTACTTATTTGCTTTTATTGCTATTCAATCGTTTTAAGAATGTAATTCACGATAAACTGAAAGACAATTTTGAAACAACTTCAACTTTGAAATACTTATATGTATACTATATCACCATATTATCTAAGTACCCCAGTCCTCTTAGCCGCACGCCTTTTCGCAACACTCTCCACATCCAGAAGGTCGTCATCTCTCTGCATCACTTGTGCCATATCGACTATATGAACACTCAAATTATTACGAACAACATAGATCAAAAAGTACCCAAGGAAAATCATTACTCCCACCTACAACAGAATTCAAACATTATAGAAGTAGATTACAACTCTGATTATCTTCATAATAATGCAACTGCTCACTATTGCACGTATCCTAATTTTAATCATTGTCAATGTCCAAAATATGTGTTAAATGTCAATGTTAGGTTAGTACCTAACTGAGTCATGACCAAAGGGAATTTAATTTAATTTGACTAATGAAAAAAACTGATTACAAAGTCATGTGAGGAGTAAAATCACTCACATACACAAGTATTTTTTAAGGGGGAAAATCATCGAATGACTTCTCCCGCCTGAGTGAGGCGGGAGGGAGTGTCAAACTCTTGCTGACTAAAAACCACCCTGTTCCTACTCCTGCACTTCGAGCTGAAGCCCCGGTAACCCGATATGTTCCGGCTTCGTATCTATAAGGTATAAGATAACGATAATTGGCTACTAAAGCTAAACTCTAATTCAGTCCCTATCGCAAAGTCAGTTAAACTGTCAAACACCAAGCGGTCACCGGTGACCGCAACCTATTGTTCTTTAATTGTGTCTATAAATACGGTACTCGACGAGTTAAGGTAGCATCTCAAAACTTGCTCTTACATATACTTACATGTTTGTGTCATTTTTAAAAACGTTTTCTAAATGAAATAACCAAATCACAATCGACGTTTATTTATTTCATGATTGACAATGTTTTAAATAAGCCTAATTAAAATTTTCACATCAATCAAAATTTAAAATCCATAACTAGAATAACTCACAACTAAAAATAAAAACCTAAAACACAATGACCTCAGCACACCAAAATTGGTGGCAATAAAATCACACGAAAATAGGGATATTATGTTACACATTAATAATTAAAATACTATAACATTTATGCAATAATGTTGCCCTTCTGAAATAGCTTCGACTCCACAACTGTCATGTCCCGTTACTCTTTAAATCTTATTGTGACATTATTCCAAAAACTTTCCAAACAGTCAAGCTACTCTAAGCAATCATTTCGTCGTTTCATAAAATAAATCTTACAAAAATTATATGAAAATGGTATCAAATGTATTTGGTTACTAAACGTGATCCTAAATCACTTCTTCTCTGATATAAATATATTTTCATTCTTAATAAACTTAATTCTTTAGACAAGGTCGTCGTCCCACAGTAGGCAAGATCAAAAAGTAGGAGCTTGCTACACAGCATATAAAATAACTGCTATGCAATTCCAGTACCTACACGGCAAAACCAGTGCGAGGCTATAACAGTCTGTAGTACTAATGAACTATAAATACATTTATTAATACCACTGGGGATGCCTCCTAACCATAATACGAATATTAATTGTCATTACATTACATTTTCAATAAATTCAATAAAGATCACAGCGATTACAATGCATTTACATTATTTTAAGATTTACGTCATCATAAAATTTTAACAATAAGTACTAATTACCTAAACATAAATGCAAGTACATAAAATAAATAATACATTAATAAAACTGCTCGAAATGGTAATATTATTGTCAGTTTCAATTAACATTAGATTATAATAAAATATATACATTCATGTCAACTTCAGAGCTCCTATTATAGAAGCGTCCCACTAGGCAGCATCTTAGGTCCAAACTTAATAAATGCACTTTGCAGAGATACCCTGGATATAGCCACTATTAATGTTATAATTCTAAGCCCCATAATTATCTTAAAATTCAATTAAAAGTGTTTTACAACGGAAGGACCATTGTAACAACTCTATGTATAGCTACCGACACTTCTATAATACAACTCTAAAACATTAAGCAAACACTTATTTATACAATTCCGTCATTTGTGAAATTTAATATAGGTGATAGAAAAAAATTCGTCTATATCCTAGTATCTATTTCTTTTTATCACATATTTGCAGTACATCTTTTACATCGACGTGATGTCGACGATCGGAACTATGATGCAAGTTATATTCCCAGTCGCGCTCTCTTATGCCCATTCCATTTTACTTAGAAACATTTAAAGCAGTTTCTTTTATCTCTTTCGTTTCACCATTTTTGGGTGGCGTACCATTCATTTCTTTGAGATCTCCATTTGACTTATCATCTTTACCCTTATCTTCAGGGGGGAAGTTCCATGGTTGAATGTTTCCAGTCCCAAAGAATATGAAGAATAGTGCTGATATAATATAAACTGATGCTCCCACGAAGAAAACTGGACGCCAGCTCTCAAAACTATTCTGTGAGCAAAAAGCAAAAAATGTAGTGTTATTTTTTGTCCAATATTTTTAAAAATATAATTAAGCGTTGAGTTAGAACTAATTATTATACTGATATGTTATAACCAAAGAAAATTGCATTGTAAAAATGTTAAAATAACATGTCTAGCAGCGTACCTATATTAATTGATTTAATTTAGAATAACTGATAAGCCCGCTATGTTTCTTAGTTAATATCATCTTTGCAATTAAATTATGATAAAATAATAAACATTGTCTGATACGTACCCCTGAGCTTGTAAAATATGCGGTTATCATTGGTGTGAAAAATCCAGCGGTACTGCCAACACAATTAGCGATTCCATACAAGGTTCCTGCATAATTCGGGGCCAAGTCTTGATGATTTTGTAGGTTGGTCAGTGTCGCGGCGCCGTTAAATCCCATTGACATTGTAATCAGAGACACTGACAGCGCCGTAGAGCATCCAGCGTACACAAGCAACACTAACAGGACACCGGGCAAGATATGGGAGAACAGACAGAAGAATTTCCTTATAACTGTCGTCGACATCAGTTTCCTTGCCAATATGAAGTCTCCAACCACACCGAATATTGTCGCAAGGAATAATCTTGCAAGGTACGGAAGAGCAGATATCACTCCTGCGGCTGACAACTCGAATCCTAAGACACTTGAAACGAATTTTGGTCCCACTGTCATTATAAAGTATAAGCCCCATAGATTTCCGTAATGAAGAATGGTCATAGCCAAGAACGGGAATGATGTTATAATACTCTTGAATGGGGGCAATCCCTGAAAACAAAAATATGTATTGTAGCACATGTGGCAAATGTTACAGTTTCAATTAACATGGACAGGGTCACACACTCGTACTTGCATAGCAAACATTTAAATTTACACAGTACCTTAAACATTATTATTGATGATGTAATGGGGTTTTCGCTATACATCCCATTAGTAGACTTTATTATTTATCCACAGTTAACTATGTACCTGAACGTTCGCCTAACCGAATATATATGTTTGCCAATTAGCATCAACTCGAACAAATTCAAACGATTCGCTATAAGTCTTATATCTCGCTGAAGCGCGAAGCTAACCTTAACATGACAACGTGATTGCAAACATTATCTCACCTTTGATTTCTTGACCTTGTCTCCTAACGCGTCTAATATGTAATTCTTTTCTGCTTCGGTTATCCTAGGATGTTCTGACGGAGTGTCAGCCACGAGATACCACCAGAAGAAACACCAAACTAGAGTCAAGGCAGCAGGTACGTAGAAAGCTGATGCCCATCCAAACTTTTCCATGAGAGGTCCGGTGAGCGACCATGTGATCACCGTCCCCAAAGTTCCTCCCATCATAGCGCTGACGAACTTGCCTTTTTCCGCGGGTGGAGCCCAGCGAGCCACCAACACGTGAAGTGCAGGATATATAAAACCCTGGAAAGTAGAACAATCATTTACCGTTTACAAACGTGTTTAAGTAACGACCCCGTTGTGATGATGGCACATACGAATACACATCTGATTCCATACAAGGCTAAAAATGTCATTAGGCATATCTTAAGGACCGGTAAATTAGAAAATTACCATCCTATTTGATTTGCTAATAGAATACCTGATTGTTTTCGTTGTGAAATATGAGGAAGAAAATAACTTTACGGCCGATATTGCGGTCATTAGGCGATCAACTTAATATTTGTTTGTCTATGAATGATTCATTAAATATTGGTTGTGCGACAGCTTACACGTGACCCTACAGTTGACAATTTCAATTAACATAATGTATAACAAGTTATCCTAAATGGTTCTCAAACAATACATAAGGAATCACGTTTTTAAACTGACTACATTATTCCTTTAGTCACTTTGTCGCAGTTCACACTCGGATTAGAAACTGTTCATTAATGCCACCTTAAACAATACTTTTTTGTAAGTAACTAAATTAATTAATGCAGGTTTAACTACCTGCATTCGGACAAAACCCTGTTCATTTTAAAATATTACTCAAACAAGCTTATGTTATACATCAAACATTGCGGTTGGAATTCTACTGATTCACATAATATACCTAATAGTAAAACTGATAGACGTAACTTCAAGGAAAAACCAACAGTTAAGATATTTGGAGTCATAATAATAGAGATTAACTTTGAAAACGTTTACCATAACTCCTTGGTCACTCCCAATTCATGTCGTAAAACTCCTAGGATAACTGCTAGAAAGTGACTATGATACACCTTTGTTTCCCCTTCCGACTTGATTTATGTCATATGTAATCTAAGCCAGAGACCATAATAATTTGTAGAGTCATATGGCAAGATATATTTATCTAATTTTCATAGTCAATAACTTTAATTAAAGTCAACTTACCCCAGCACAGCCTAAAAAGAACCTTATAACCACTAAAGCTATATAGCTCAAGTTTGCGGCGAATGGGCTAAGGGCTGTCAATATAGCACTGGCGAAGGAGGACACAAGAACGACGTAGCGTGGGCCCCATCGCTCAGCGGCCATGCCTCCGATCAGTGACGTCACTGGGTAACACCAGAAGTATGATCCGAGGATCAACGCCTGCTGCTCCGCTGACCAGTTGAACGATGCACCCCCCGGGATTTGCTAAAAATAAAAGTACATTATATGCAAAGAAAATACATACACGGTTTATAACAAAGTTTTTCTTAAAGATTGACTTCTTAAAGGTTAATGAAACATTCCCTAGACTGTTCTGTAACTGTCAATTCGAAACTTTCGAAGTGAACTCGATCTCATTCTCGCCAATCATTGGTCGAGATTATTCTCACAACCAATGACATGGCGGATCGTGATCGAACTCACTTCTATCTTTCGAATTGAACGTTAAGTACAAAATATACATAAGATTTTATGATTTGAATTTGATAAGAAAACTGAGTTTCTTTTTTGTTCTGATCGACATTCAAAGATTTCCTCATCTAATATACAATACAATATTAGGTAGAAGTACCTACACATATATATATGGATACGTACACAAGTAAGTAACATCTATAAGCGCAAATACACAATCCAAAAAAGAACGAATTGACATCAAAGCAAATATTTGAGTGTTCATTATGTGAAGCGAGCGCTCATCGACTAGTCGTCACTTAGTATCTACTCTTAGATATTAATATATGTTCACGTATGAAAAATACACTGAACATAACCTCTATAATAAAAACCTTGTGCATATAAATATACAGGGTGTAAACGGAAAGCTACCGAAATGCTGACAAAAAGAAATGGCTTTTACAATCTTAATCGTTTACATTTTCGTGTTATGCCTTGACTATTTGATTACAACGATAGAATAGTAGACTAAATTTTATTTTAATGTCTGTCTGGTCGATTAATTTAAAACATTAGACACGTATTTTTTATTTTCTCACACAATTAAATACTTTCCACGATATATTAATCTGAAATTTAACGACCCCCCACTCCTAAACTTAACTCCATTTGATCTAAGTATTGTAACTTTATACGAGAAAATAAAATTGTGTCTAAAATTTTTTCATTATCTAACTGACGGACTAATTAGATTTTTAATTTTCATTCCTTGGCAACTACCCTATTATTGCATAAAATAAATATTTAAGTCCTTGCTTTTATTAATTATCATTTCGTTCACACCCTGTATGTTACTTGTACCTATTTTATTATAAGAAATAACAGGAGTTCATACAAGTTAGATAGGAGCATTAAGCTCATGTGGGTTTTTCCCTTCGGCATTTCTCCGCTAAAATTACGAAGCAATGCTATTACCTTTACATGGGAAGCGTGCACATGAACACCGTCGACACGGCGAAGAGTTTCATTTGTCAACACGTCATCTTTCGGGTCACACTGGGAACGTGATCTGAAGGAAAATAATAACTTCAATAATCATGTCCACATTATAGCAGACGAAAAATACATTGTTGTCGAGGTTGATTAATATTATTAGCAAGTTGATATATCATAAATATATCCAATCATCCAATGACTTCTCTCGCCTTGGGTTAGGCGAGAGGCAGTGTCTTACTAACTAAAAACCACCCCGAGCCCCGGCAACCCGGTAGGCCTTTCGCGGCATTGAAATAATATTTGTATTGTAACTTTCGTGAGACATACTAAATAAATTATTATGTTACAGTAGCAGCGCAACAGTCGCCGCGTCGCGGGTCGCGAAATGCTGCTGATGAATATGAGCCTCTAGCATGGCTTGAAACTAGTCGAGTTCCTCGTCAAATTACTACGTGAGTAAGCCGAAAACATAATAATTTATTGAAATAATATTTCGATAAATTTTCCAATAAACATCATTAGCATTAATAATGACCACACTGCACTGATTTAATTAACAAAACAGATTAAAAAATACACTTTTAATTAGACAGGTATTGTTCTTTCTGTATTACCTACCTATATAAAGTGTAGAGAGTCAGTAAGAAAATATTATTTTTCCCTGTCATAACACTCATTATTACAAGCAATAAGTTTCATTTTATACGCCGGCCTACGTCAATGGAAGATCTCCGACAAGTTGCTTTGAAAAAACTTGTGTATACATATTAATGTATACATTAATTAATTAAAACGCACATCTCATCATAACGGTCTCGACTGTGTCAACACAATTCTACTTCGTGCATCGTGCTAAAAATAAATATCTACATTTGTGCGCTATTTTTTATAATACCTAATGTCAAAATTCTATAGAAGACATCAACTTGAAATAGCTCAACCTTGACTTTTTGTATACTAGTTTTCTTCAGTGTTAAACTAACAACTAGGTACCTCTTCAAGTACACACGCAAGTATGAACCATAGCAGTCCGTCCGACGTTAGTATAATCAGTAAAATGCATGTTAGGAGATGAAACTATTGCCATTTATCAGACACAATTCCAAGCTCATAGGTAGATAGAAGAATAAATAGGTATGATATTATACTTAAAAAAATTAGTTTGGAATTTTATTTATTCGCAGATCTAAATACAGGCAATAATGTATGCAATATACTTACGTGGAGCCATTGGAGTGTGTCTGTGGTACCATGGCAATAAGATTGAGACTCATATTCACTCGGAGCATGTACACCACCCAGCAACTGGTGAACAGCATCACCCATAAATTGAAACGCACTGGCACCACATCTGCGAAAATAAACATTTAATTTTACATTATTTACTGGTATGTTTTGTACTGAAAACTATACATTATTATTTCTACTCAAGAATCGTATCAAAATACATTCGAAAGTTTTTTTTTATATTTGACTAGCGACACGCCCCAGCTTCGCACGGGTGCAATATGCATTTTTATACATATAAAGCTTCCTTAAGAATCACTCTATCTATTAAAAAAACCGCATCAAAATCTGTTTCGTAGTTTTAAAGATCTAAACATACCTACATAGGGACAGACAGACGGCGGATAGTGATTTTGTTTTATACTATGTAGTGATATGGGCCAACACTTCACCACTATCTCGCCTGGTGGTAAGCGATGATGTGGTCTACGATGGAGCACGTAAGGTTTTTGAGTAATAAAAATAATTTATAATAAGTCCCTATTTAAGGCTTTGGCTACAAGCCCACTACACATTTCCAACTTCTGCTCCTGTAAACTAGAATCTACAGGAGACACCACCCAGCAAAAGAGAGACCATTAAGCTCAATGTGTAGGAACATGGACAAACCCGTCTTGGTTCCGCAAAGCAATTAATGTTAGTGTCATTAGAGGAAAAAGGCTTCGTATATTAAGCTTATGTGAAGCTTCTATGAAAACATTGCTTTATAACCTTTATATAATGATTGCGACGGTATTAAATCGTAAACAACAATTTCGAAACAACTGTGAATCACTTTAAACGAAAGTTTATTCGTTGTATCTATTACTTATAACATAATTATTATGTGACTGACTTAACGACAGACGATCAAAATATTTTTTAATAATCTTATATTTTGTAGCCACAATATACCTATGAACTATTGTACTACGATGTTTGTTAATGCGAAATGCAATTAAAATTTTAATTAATTATTATTAATAGATGTGTAGAAAGTATGGATAAACTGAGATGCAGTATCAACACTATTTTCAAGGTCCTGAACGCCTTAACCTTCTTTACTTCTAGCAATTCCTCGAGTTTTCACCTCTATGCTCCTGTTCCTAAGTATTGGATCGTGGTGCTAATGGACTTTATAAGTACTTTCTTAATCTTTGACTTGATGCAACCAATAAGTTATTTTACCTACAATAACCACATATTTATTGATCTACGAGTTTGAAATGGTTCTCAGGAATATCCCCCTATTACCCAGACAACAAGTAACTTATTATGGGTTCTACCATCATAGAAGACAGGCGAGAATGTATGCCATGTTTATAAAACTTACGCAGTAATTCTATAGTCGACTTCACACTTGTCACCCCTTTGTATTCTAACTTCACCATTTTATCTACTTTATTTTATTATAATCAAATGTTAACTAAATAAATAAATCTAAAGTAAAAAAACGTTAATCTAAATATTAAAATAAACTTGTCAAAATAACTTTTCTGACAAATTAGCGTTTGGCAATTTGATATTAAAAATAAACTATGCGTATAGGTAAAAGAAAAAAGGTTTATTAAAAACGTATGCGATTCTCAGTAAAACAACTCAGTACGTATTTACATATTATATCAATGGTTTGACCTGATTAATTAATGGAAATTTGTGACAGGTCGTCTGCCCACCTTGTGGCTAGACGTCCAACACTGTGCTTGCTGGAACGTGGCCGCCATTCGCGAACTTTTTGCCCCATCAACAGCCGGTTAAGTAAAGGAAAATTCGTAGTAAAATAGGATTAATATTTCCTCCATTAACTAAACAGGTAAGTAAGTTCTATCTCCTACCTACCTACCTACCTAACTTCCTTGTCAGTAAAATCGCGTATTAAAAGTGAATTTTCTCTAAATTTTCTGTCGTCGTTCCACGAATCGCTGTACTAGCATAATCAAGAGAAATAAAATTGTATTTCACTTTGAATATTTACCTAAAAACGTTAGAATCTGACCCTAAATGAAATCTTTTGATAAGTAACAATCAAATATATTAGTAATCTATAATTTTTTACTGTTATAACATTAAGATGAAATCTTACACGCAAGTAAGCGTAATTCTATAACTTCTTCAAACACGCAACTTGTAAAATATTTAAATTAAAATTGTGCAAAATTTTGCGTTTAAGTTTGAACCAGGAAATTAATTTGTCAGTTATGATATGACGGTCGCATAAACAGTTCAGTGTCCCATGAAACATAAGATGGGCACATTATGCCGATCAACCAACCATACCTAATAATACCGCGGTTAATACGTGTCTGGCTACTTAGCACATGTACCTAATGATAGGTAAATTGTTCCTACAGAGATGACAATTCTAATCTTCTAGATTATAATCTAAATAAAATCCTACATTAAATACAAATAGAAGTTGAAGTTATTGTTTCTTTCGTTAGACGTTCTTGAAAAAAAATATTCAAAATATTATAATCGAATTTAAATCAAGTAATGACCTCCGCTTTAGTCACACGTATGAATTCCATAAACCTACTACGTACTGATGTTCAAAAAATTACAGTAACAAAAAATAAATAATGATATTCCGCTACTATCCATTTTGTAAACGATTGTGTACATAATATAATGGCACGACTTAATTTCTTTGTTTATCTGGTCGATGAACAAAAGTTTGATGGTGGTTATTTCAACTTCTTTTATATTCCATCGATATATTATATCTTTTATACATACATAATGTAGATTATGGGTATAATAAAATAAGGGGCTATTTGTGTTCGCCTTTAATTTAAAATATTCTAATAATTATTGCATATGCAAAATTATTTGTGAAACAGGTGTTTAATACGGAACCTGAATGTTTAATGTCTATTTTGATCAGAAGATGATGTCAAGTATCTTTATCAAAAGCGACATAGAGTTATATTCTAAAGCATTATTTAGCTGCCACAAAAGTAATTAAACTATGGCATTATAAATGGTGTCTGCGGTTTCTTTATAGTTACTTTAATTTAAAGTAAAGTACGAGTCACGTAATGTTTGTACTTAAAGAAAATATTTGCAACTTCATTTTTTCGCAATCAAATAAAAACGCGTTGGTGTCATCTTTTTACTAGTTATTTTTCTTAGTAGGTAATGGTTTTAAGAAAATAAAATTGAATCATTTACGAACTACCAATTCTTTAAGAATATTCCTGTTTGGAAGAAAATTGGAGAAACATTATTTTATCAACACTGTTACTGTACAGCACTATATATTTATACTGTGACTCTATACATGGCTTTTCCAGAACCAACGTTGCCTAATCCACGTACGAGACTCAGTATTTATCTCCAGACAATGTGTGTAGGTAGACGCATGAAAGTAAAAAAATCTTAAAATAATTGGAGGGATCGTGGTGGTATTTTTCCTTCCTCCTAAATGTAGGAGGAAGGAAAAAAAGTTAGGTCTTAGTCCTGATTAAGACCCAACTTTATGTAGATAGATACCTGTGCATGTACCTACCCATTATAATATTTTCATGAAATGCACTCGTCCATTACTGCCTAACAAATAGCCATTGTAAATAACTTCATGCACAGCTCCTAATCACAATAATCAAAAGCGTGTCAATATCTTCATTTATACTTATCACTGCAATTAAAATAAATGCGGAAAACAATAGGAAATGCGACACGGCATTTGTAATCAAAACGATCATAACATTTATATGTACAGAAAAAGTACTTAAACCTAATATGGAAAATCTCATAAAACATGAGTGTGTTACTGTGAATGGTTGCTGCTTCACGTATAACGAGCAGTGTTGCTGAAAACAAAAATTATATTAGGTACCTAACTTGGCAACATTATTTTGTAACATAAACAATGCAGAGAATACAAACTCGTATCAATTTTTACAGCCTCAAAGACGTTTCTGGTCAATTATTATGTTTTCAGCTTACTCACGTAATTATTTGACGATGAACTCGACTAGGTACAGTAGCAGCGCGACAGTCGCCGCGTTGCAGGTCGCGACATGCTGCTCATGAATATGAGCCTCTAGCATGGCTTGAAACTAGTCGAGTTCCTCGTCAAATAATTACCTACGTGAGTAAGCCGAAAACATAATAATTTATTTAGTATGTCCCACGAAAGTTATAATACAAATACGTTTCTGGTCCTAAACAAAAACATTCTAATTACGTCTTTCAAAGTGCGTAAGTATGTATGTATAACGATATCATTAAAATATATTTCAAAGCACAAAACTGTAAAGTTTTAGCACAAAGACTGACAAAACTACGTTGTGAATGTTAAAACTCAAAAGACATAACTGGCCTTAACGAGACAATGGTCCTGTCCTCAAATATATTACACTTAGAACATTATACCAACTGTATCTAAGTTACAATGCCATTGCTTTCTTGTGATGATTTACCAGAACCAAGTCATTAGCCAGTCAATGAGATTTGCGTCGCTAGAGGCCTGGCGTAACGTATGTTCTCTGAAATAATATTTGTTCACAAATGACAAGTTGTCGGTAAATAAACTCATATATTAGATTTTGTTTTAGGCAGCCTCGTTGGCCGAGTAGTCGCAAGTGCGACTGCCGGGCAAGGGGTTCGACTCCCGGGTCAGGCAAAGCATTACTGGGTTTTTAAAAATCTCAGTAGTAGCACGGAGCCTGGAAATGTGCCCGGTATATGGCAATAGTCTCACCCCCTATTACATGGGACTCAAAACATAAATAATGAAAAGTGGGTGTTACCTTGTACGGTGGCATTAAGTGCCGAAATGTGCACCTCTGCCTACCCCTTCGGGGATAAAAAGACGTGATGTTATGTAATGTTATGTTATGTTTTACACAGGTCGATGAATGGATGGCATCGATCAGCTATCCTATTAACCCTTCCTCGCTATATCTAGATTTTGTACTTCTTCTAACCACAATTAAAAGTAACCCAAGGATTTATACTATTTATACCATACTTTTTGTCCTGGCAACGCAGATAAAGCCACAAGCTTGTGAGAGTTCTTAGTCTAACTTGAAAAACATAATGATATCATCCAATCTTATAAGTATCTTATTTTGTTTGCTTGTTTGTCTGAACGCGC